TGTACCTCTGGTGCAAATTACTGACCTCTGTCATCATTTTAGGTGGGGGAACTTGCACAATCGGTGGCTGACTAAATACTTTTTTGCCCCACTGTATGTGAAATCCAACAGGAGTTGGACTACCTCCTGTCCAGCTTTGTGGAGTCTTTTATAAACTGTTTACGATCAGTCTGGAGAGGGTCCCAGTGCTGTGGAAGCTGTTATTGCTTGTTCCTGTACCAAAGATGCCACGCAGCAGGTTTACAGATCTGTGGCGTTAATTTAAGACATCATGCAGACCCTGGATAGGCTGATCCTCGATCAGCTCTGACCTATGGTCAGGCCACATCTGCTTACCAACCCCACCTCGGAGTTCAGAACTCCATTACTTGCTCAATCATGTCTATGCCACTTGGAACAGCAGGTGAGCACTGTGAAGGTCATTTCTTTTGTACTTTTCCAGTGCATTCAACATCATCAGACCAGTCCTCCTGAGTGATAAACTAACAGCCATGCCTGTCTCATGCGCTGGATTATAGATTACCTGGCAGAAAGACCACACTATGTGTCTGACAAGTTGATCAACAACACCGGGGCACCACAAGGGGCCGTCCTCCCCCGTTACCCTATCCCCTGTTCACCCTCTACACCAGGGGTGTCGAACTCCAGGCCTTGAGGGCCGGTGTCCTGCAGGTTTTAGATCTCACCCTGGGTCAGCACACCTGAATCAAATGATTAGTTCATTATCAGGCCTCTGGAGAACTTCAAGACACTTGAGGAGGTAGTTTAGCCATTTAAATCAGCCGTGTTGGATCAAGGACACATCTAAAACCTGCAGGACACCGGCCCTCGAGGACTGGCGTTCAAGACCCCTGCTCTACACCTTGGACTTCAGCCACTGTACAGAGACCTGCCATCTACAAAGATTTTCTGATGTGGTGGATGGATGCATTAGTGGGTTTGGTGAGATGATGCACCAACCTGTGGTGGACTCCTTTGTCATGTGGAGTGAGTGGAATCACTTGCAGTAACAAAGAACAAGGAAATGACTGTGGACTTTAGGAGGATCAGGAAACCAGTGACCCATATTTCAGTTCAGCGGGTCAACACGGTGTGACAGACGTTCCTGCGGTGGAGTGGGTGCTGGGGGCTGCTGCTTTTGGGGGAGGCACAGATGGGGGCTCTGAGCCTAGCGCTAGTCAGGGGAGCTTTGCAGATACCTCCAGGGATGTCTTGGACTGGGCAGGCCTCTCACCAGAAGAACATTGTCAGTGGTTCAGGAGAAGCCAGATGGCAGTGGAAGATTGGCCTTTGGGATGGGGCTACACGACAGCGGAGGCCACACGACTCAGGGGCAAGGTGGCTACGACCTGAGCGACCAAGAGAGAAGCGCAGGTGTTAGGGCAGGTGGTCCTTGAGCAGTTCGTGGAAGGGCTCCCCTGGGAGACAGCACGGTGGCTTTGCTGCCACCAGCCGGAAGAGGAGGACCACCTGGCCATGCAGCCAGAGGAGGCAGAGGGTCACTGGAACTGGTCTCGTCCCACTGGCCGGCTGGCTCCCCAGCCCTGCCCTGGCAGAACCGCCACTGCAGCTACAGCCCACTAACCCCTTTCTCCCCGATCTGCCTCCCCAGGACCTGGCAGCGACAAACACCACGCAGGGCGGCACCAATGCCAAGGCAGGGGTGTTGGGGTTATGGGCGGCAGGGACACCTGTGGTGGGAGTGTGCCCACTGATAGACATGGAGCAGGTGTTCAGCGTCGCAGGGGCTCCAACACCCTCCTCCGGTCCAGGAGGGCCACACAGTGTTCCGGTAAGGTGCCCAGGGGATATATGCCAAGCTTTGGTGGAAATGGGCTTCACAGGCATTGTTGGACGCAGAGTGGGTGGAGGTCAGGTGTGTGCATGGAGACATTCACAAATATCCCCTAGTGGCGCTGGCTGCAGATAAAGTTTCAGGGCAAAACACATAGAGTAAAGGCTTCAGTTCTGGGGACAGATTGGCCGGGGTTTAAGAATCTATTGGGTCAGTGTGTGGGGATGCATCTACAACCTGTCTCGCACACTAAAAGAACTGTACAAATTAACTGGCATTAAATCTGTTCGGACCAGTGTCTACCACCCTAGATCGACGGTTTAGTGGAGCGACTGAATAGGACTTTAAGGTCCATGATTCGTAAGTTCATTCACAAGAATGAACACAACTGGGATCACTGGATAGAGCCTCTGTTGTTTTCAGTGCGAGAGGTTCACCAGGCATCCATGGGATTTTCTCCCTTTGAGTTACTGTTTGGCAGGAAGCCAGCAGATCCAAGCCCAGCTAAGAATGAAATTCAATTTTGGACCTGAGAGCAAAGCTGCACACTTTGGGGAGGTTATCATGAGAAAAGGTGTGGATATGAACCGAGTCTCACAGGCAGTTTGATACATCAGCATTTATGGTAGCCTCGACCCTCTGACCCTGTGTTGTGTGCAGCTGAAGATGGTACTTATCAAATGTTGTGACATCTCCAATGAAGTGAGGGCCATGGAGGTGGCTGAGCCTTGGGTCGATTGCCTGCTGGCAATAATACAAAGAAAACTGAGAAAACCCTAACAATGATATGATCTCCTGTGAGCAAGTGAATTGGCAACATCATGGCAAGATTCGTCCAGATGCTTGGCTACAAGATGAACAGCCACAAGAAGCAGTATCCTCCATGGAGAAGGAGACTAGAGGCCACACAGAGGGAATGCTGGAGATGGAGATAGAGCAATATTGGAAGAGCACAAGGAAGGAGGCCAGACTTAAAGCCAATTGCACAAGTTGCCATCAAGTGTGGGATTTACCAAAAGAGATGCTTTTTCCCCACTTCTGTTCTGCATAAGTCTGAATCCACTCATTCAAATAGAATGGCTACAGATACCAACTACAGAATGGGATCTGTAGTTGGTATCTGGGATCCTCTTTATATATATAAAAGAGATGGCCGCAACCACCAAATACCTGCAGAGGGTCAGCCAAGTCCTGAAGAGCAGCTGAATCGGAAAAACAAGATCTGGGCAATCAACACCTATGCCCTGCCGGTGATTAGATACCCTGCTGGGATAATAAGCTGGCCAAAGAAGGAGATAGACGGCAATGTATGCTAAGCGAAAGGAAGGAGGCCAACCACCGATGAAACAACGAACATCCATAAGTAGATCGGGAAGATGGAAACAACTGACATGTGCTTAGTGAATACCTCAAGCAGCAGAAACCCAAGAAAGAGGAGGAACAAGGAGAGGAACCATCATGGAAGGACAGTATGACCACTGACAGAAGCGACTGACATTGAGAGATCTTACCAAAGCTGGACTGAAAGACAGCACAGATAGCACGGGCACTAACCGCGGCAGCACAGGAACAAACTCTGAGCACAAGATTGTGTCTAAAATTTTGAAGTGACCTAACATGAAAAATGTGGACTAAATGAAGCGCTGTGAATACTTCCCAGGTGTTCTGTATGTGCTGTATGTTCTTCCTCAGATGTTACACTAAATTTCTTAGATAAAGTGAGTGTTTTCTGACCAAGCGTCTTGTTCAAACAACAAACATTTCCCTCAGATACGATAATGTCTTTTATTTAAACTGATGTTTGGTCTCTGAATTGTAAGTGGAGACCCAACTCCAATAACACTAATCAGAGAAGTGTTTTGATGCATGCTAAATCATCCCAAAACATTGATTCTGTTCATCTAGAATCAACATTTTCAGTGGGAGAAACATTTCATCACTCATCCAAGTGACTTCTTCAGTCAAAGTTGGTTAAAGTTGGAAACTAGAACCACTGGTGAGGTCAGTTTCTTGATCATAAATATGCAAATTGTCATGACCACTGATCAGTGACCATTGATCAATAACAAACACATTTTCCCTAAACACGGTGTCTCTGTGGCTTTCAAACGCCAAATCACACTGCGCCAGAATCGAGGAATTGTTCACCAGTGGTGCTAGTTTCAGTCATCATGTAAATGTATCCTTTATACCCTTTATAGTCAGAGAAGTTAACACTTGCTCTCTGTGTAAGTGTGCAAGAATGGGAGAACAGGAAGTGGTGCAGAGGTCCAGTAGCAGATGGCCTTAAAGGGAGATTAGCCAAAATAGATTTTTTTTTGGTGATGGTGCAGAACTTTTTGATCACCTATAAGCAGGGACGTGCAGAGAGGTTTAAAGGGGCGGGTGCTCAAAGTTAAAAAGGGGCACATTGAACCAGGCTGAATAACAACAACACACATTCATCAAGAATCTAATATGGGAAGGGCAGGGCTGTGTTGACCTGAGACTGTAGACATTAAAAAGTCCA